CCCCCCAGTCACCATTACTTAAAGTACTGTAAGATCTCGGCTCTGGCCCTGCTGAAGATGGTGATGCACGCCAGGTCCGGAGGAAACCTGGAGGTGATGGGCCTCATGCTGGGGAAGGTCGACGGCGAAACCATGATGATCATGGACAGCTTTGCTCTGCCGGTGGAGGGCACGGAGACCAGAGTCAACGCACAGGCTGCAGCCTACGAATACATGGCAGCGTACATCGAAAATGCCAAACAGGTCTGACTCTGACACACACACGTCTGACTTCATTCATGGCTGAGACATTTAGAGCCAAAGCCTCCACTGTTCAGTTATAACATGTTGCTTTACAGCTCATCTCTCATTTATAGGCCAATTTAATCAGATATATTATTAGATATCAAATGTATCGTCACTAACTGTAGATGTTATTTAACGTATTAATTTATAAAGCAGTCTGAACACATATATTATAAGATATCAGATATGTCATCACTGCCCGGAGATATTATTTATCATATTTATTTAAACGGCAGGAAGGGAGGTACCATATAAATATTAGAGTATCATTTTCACATTAATTTCATATCATGCCTCCCTGTGTCATCAGTATTGTTCAATTCTGTGTTCATTCATGTTAAATTCCAAGCTCAAATTGTTGTTCATGTGTAATACTCTGAGACATGGCTACTCTTGATACCTTTCCTCTCTTAGAAAACACAACAATAATAATCAATCAATATTTTCAGACTATTTGTGTTTTTCAGTCTTTATAACCGGTATAATAGTTTTCAAATGGCAAAGCCTTGATATCTTGGATAACAACCTCCGTCTTATCTCTTATCCCCCAGGTTGGCCGTCTGGAGAACGCTATTGGCTGGTACCACAGTCATCCAGGCTACGGATGCTGGCTGTCGGGCATAGATGTCAGCACTCAGATGCTCAACCAGCAGTTTCAGGAGCCATTTGTGGCTGTTGTGGTGAGACAGGAAACAGTAACCTTTGTTATTTCAAGTCAAACACTTGGTAAACAGCAAACTAATTGCACCTCATTAAAAAGTAGTTCAGGAAAGTGAGCTCTTTTCATTCCAAATATGACAATATACGTTGCTTTTGGTGTAACTGAGAAGAGGGTGTAATTTTTGATGTATGAGTTGTAGGTTTCCATGTTGTACAGATTAATATTTTGCTTTTGCAACCATATATGTTATTTATACTTCATGTGGTTCATCAGTGCTTAAATGCCACAGGCATTCTGTAATTAAGTGCATATTTTCAGCACACTGACAGCTACAGCAGAGGGCTCCTGGTGGCCAGATCTGAGTAGTCCCCGGAGGTTTGTGTGACCCCTGACTTTGTTTTCCTGTTCTACTGTATCTTGCTTCCTACAGATCGATCCCACTCGGACTATTTCTGCAGGAAAAGTCAACCTTGGCGCCTTCAGAACCTACCCAAAGGTAACGCAAAGACAGCACCTCCCTTTTGACTATAAGTTTAAAGGAAATCTTAAAGAGAATTCTGGTGCTTTTTCTTTCATATTTGTAGTTTTAAATTTTTAGTTTTAGTCTGGTATATCAGTTTTATTGCCTTTGTGTCTCATTTGGCTCTGTTTTAGGACTAGGTGACCCAATCCCCTCTTAATTATTTGTTTATTATTACGTACATATATACTTTGGAGAAAAGGTTCTTCTTCTGTTGTTAGGTCTCAGTATTTCCTCTTTGGATTTTCAGGGTTACAAACCTCCTGATGAAGGACCCTCAGAATATCAGACGATACCTCTCAACAAGATTGAAGACTTTGGTGTTCACTGTAAACAGTGAGTGTGGACATATACAGTCTATTAAATTGTTCTCGCCATATTTAATACTGCCATAACACCCACATTGTGTAAATAATGTTTACCTTATTTGCAGCACTGTAATATACTTTGTTCTTTACTGTGTGATTGTATTACTATGCTGTACATATCTGATGTTTTTCTTTTGATTCGTCTCTCTCAGGTATTATGCCTTGGAGGTAACTTACTTTAAGTCCTCCCTTGATAGAAAGCTCCTGGAACTCCTTTGGAATAAATACTGGGTCAATACCTTAAGCTCCTCAAGTCTCCTCACGGTAAGAACGCAACTTCAAAAATCAAAATGTTCGCTAATTGTTTGACATTTTGATTTATGGTTAAATATTACACTATAACTCATTGAGACATGCAGTCATCAGCTTGTGATGCTGTGATTTATTGCTGCCTATTAGCAAAGCGCCTTTGTTTATTGATGTTAGTAATAAGCTTAATTTGAAACTTTCGAACAAAGGTTATAAGTATTAAAAGTTGGACCTGGCCCTAATGATACAGATGCTGTTGTGGTTCATCATCTTCTTTCACCCAGGAGTTCATTGTAAAGATTGAAAAGACCTCATGTGAATTCCCATTCCCCATTGTGGTTGCAGTCATTCTGTCCCGGGCTTGACTAAACAGTGTAAATAGGCATCAGGCTTATCCAAACAGTTAGCTCTTTGGCATTCTGGATGAAGATGAATTGACTAGATGTCAAGAATGAGCTGCTCCAACGGTGACGGGCTTTGTCAGTTGCTACACTGTCACCCTCGTCAGGGGCCCCAGTGTCATTGTGTTTTAATTACCTTTTCCACTAAAAACATGGCCTCACCTTAAGCAAACTCTTCTCAGACTTCTTTTCATTCACTACGGAGCACAGACTGTTCCTGCAGCTTCTTACACAGATGTGTTGTCATCCTGCAAAATTAACGTGTTCTTGGAAAATCTGTTGTCCAGCTTTTGTTGTCAAATTGTGCATGAATTAATGTGTGTTTGTGTGTGTTGGATGGTCAGAATTCAGACTACACCACAGGCCAGGTGTTTGACCTGTCGGAGAAGCTGGAGCAGTCAGAGGCTCAGCTGGGCAGAGGCAGCTTCATGCTCGGGTTGGACACACATGACAGGAAGTCTGAGGACAAACTGGCCAAAGCAACACGAGACAGGTAAATGTTTTTCTTTATTTAACACTTTTGGGCAGTAAAAGATCAGCGCTGACTGTGGCTGCTTCCTTCCTCCATGCTTTACATCCTAAAAAGAAAGTAGTTGATGGTGTTACTTTTATTTAATTTAATCATGTTTTTTACTGCTTAATAAACAACTTGTCAACATAACTCAATTATTGATAATCTATTCTTTTTATTTTTTGTATCACATTTTAACAAATGATTTTAATGAAATTCTTTTTTATTTAAATGTTATTAGATGTCTGATTTTGAACTTCAACTTGGATTATGTTTAATATTGAATAATCCGATTATTTTCTCCATAAATAAATATATATTTTTGTATTTAAAAAATGTCAGAAATTAATGAAAACCTAAAGAGGTTTAATTTTTAATGATACAAAATGGAGAATAACTTAAACAGTTAATCATTAGAGTTGATAGTTCACAATGAATTTTCTGCCAATGGACTAAGTGATTTATAATTTAAACTCTAGACTAAAACTGAGAGGTCTGTTAAACCTTCTGAATTGCAAGACATGCAATTATAAACTAAATGTAGCATTATTACTATTCCACTGATTTTGTCTTTTCATGCTATATAATTAAATATATTTGAGATTTATTAACACCAGTTTCAGTAATATCTAAACCACACGAAGAGACAATAAATATACCTTTACTATGTATTATTGTTGAAAGTCCACTGATACCAGGGTGAATGTTACATCTCCAGACACCGTATCCGTTTTGCTGGTGGTAATTACTGATCTCCATTTTCCATGGTGTTCTGTTTTAGCTGCAAGACGACCATCGAGGCGATTCACGGCCTGATGTCTCAGGTCATCAAGGACAAACTCTTCAATCAAATCAACACATCTGCCAATTAAACCTGGACTATGAGCTGATTTGGATTTCACCAGGAAATGTTTTCTTGTGCATGTCGAGCACTTACTGTTGATGGTGATTTTTTTTTTTTTTTTCAATATTTTTGTGTTTGAGGTAGCTAAGGAATACAGCCAGGACTCCTGCTCCAAAAAAAATAAAAAAATATATATACAATGCCAGTACTTTGTGTGTATTTCATACTTTTAGATCAAATTAGATATTGCAGATATTGTACCTGGGTAATTGAACAAATCCACTGGATATTCGTCATCACGTATTCACTCCTCTATATAAATATAATACAGATTCTTAAGGTGCACTGCGTTTTTGTTTCCCGTCAAGCTCTGGCTGTTGTTACAAATCCTCTTACACATCGGGCCTGTATTCTGCTGCAGCCCAGCAATAAGACACGCGCAGCCCGACCGACAGTCAGCCTTTCAAGCGCAGTCTGTCACGGCGTTACATAATGGAACAACAAGTTCAAGTCTCTGCATAGGCTCAAATGGAAGCGGCTGCCGTGTGGGACGTCTCTGCGGAGTCACTCCCAGCACAGTTTGGCTCTTGGTGGTACACAGTCCAGCGGAGTGGCCAGCTCGTCAGGTTGTGGTGTGGCAGTGATGCAGTGCAGAAACAGAAGCCGCACACACTGGAGTCCATTCACCCAACGTGTCTGCTCTCCATCGAAGCAGACACTCACCAAGCCTGCCTGTTTTTTCACAGACAGCTGCTTTGGCCTGGGTTTGTGTCATGTCTTTTTCATGGTATTGTAATGGATAAATGTATATTTTTTATGTCATGCATCGCAAAGCAGAGAATCCCAGCGGGGCAGAGGAGGTGTCTGTTTTTTCTCATGTGCATGAGCTTTGGCACCACTTCTTATAATGATTTTCTTTAAGTATTATAAAGGTGTGTCTTTAAATTGAGGGTGTTTAGTGCAGCGGTTTAGGAATATGAAATTTATAAGATTATATTTAATGTAATTTGGGGTTTTGAAATTATTGTATAGGTTTATTGGAACACATGTTCTCCTGAAGAGCTCATGTTTTTGCCAGATATTTAAATGTTTTACATGGACGAGCGTCACAGAGCTGAGAAAGTATTCAGAGTATGCACTTTTAAAATAGTTGCTTCCAATGTTTGGTCTTTCATGGTGATTTAAGAACCAGTGAAACATATTGAACTCGTTGGACATGTAAATAGTGTGATTATCACCAGATGGACATTTGTATGCATGACTAAAGGTGGAATAGGAAAATGTATGTAAATTCTAATCAAGTCAAATTGTTGGCAGACAAAAATCCATTTCTTTTACTTTATTCTTTTTATTTTTTAAGCAATTTATAGGCACAATATATGTTCCCCGTTACTATAAAAATGCCTTCACCTTTGCTGTTCACACTAAAATATAAGATGGCAAATGATATTGGTATGAGAGCTGCAGGTTGATAAAGCTGATGATTAATAGCTGAAGTATTGAGATGCTCTGTTTAGTTTTGGCTCTCTGCAGAATGAACCCTGACGAGCTCAGTGTTGTGTGTGAAGTGGTGGAGCCCAGCTCAGAGAGGTGCTTCACTTCCTCTCAGACATGTGGTTCTGCATAAGTGGTGGAAGGCTGCTCCCTCACAGGAAACCCAGGTCATGGCATGATATAGATTAACAATGCAGGGGTCACTGGGAGAAGAGGGCTGTGGTCCTGACACATCACGCTGTGCTTTTACACTTACACACATAGACACAGTAGCTGCAAAAAAAAAGTAAGTAAATATGGACAGCAGAAGATCCTGCACTTTATTTGTATTTCTTACTTATTTGTTGCTTTTTAAAAAAAATCCAACTTCACCAAAAAATACATTTCAAGAATTATTAGGGTGTAGAAGAATAACAGAGCATTTTATTTGTCCCTTTTTCCAAATCCATGACAATTTCTCTGTCCTTTATTTACAATTGTCCAAATAAAATGGCAATCCATTTAAATCAATTAGCAGCTGATATAATTTCAATATAATTCCATTTGCTAAATATTGCACTTGTCCCATAATGTTGATCATCGTCACACATGTTTGTCTTCAACCCAAATAATATTTGTCAAAGATAACAAGTAACAAGATAACACGCTTCCTTCCGCTTCCACTGCGTTTACCCTCGTTTCCCATCAGACGTGACAGCCTCGCTGCTTCCGTAGTTTCCATGGCAACTGCGCTTCTCGTTTCAAACGAACCGACATCGCTTCGTTCGTCTCCGTCGAGCAGAGAGGTAGAGGACTTCTTTTACGTTTCACACGTGTTTCAATTCAACGTGCAAAGAGGAAACTCGCGCTAAGTTTAGTTAAAGACGCGGCGTGTTAAGATAGCCTGTAAGCTAGCTGTATAGTTATCTCAATGGCCATTTCTTTTTATTCCTAACATCACACGGATCGTTGTTGGCTCCTCTGACGACGTGTGGATGTGATCACCTCCATGTTCTGCTTATTGTTTTCATTTATATCGTGTTCCTCGCGAACTGCACCCGGACACCTTAGAGTGTCGCACTGTGTCTGACAGTGATAAAGTGCTGCTCCCAAGTGAGAGAAGATCCTCTGCGGTTTGTAACTTCACGTCGTTAGCTTCTGTCCATACTTCAGCTCTTATCGATCAGGGCTCGAGATCAAGCGTGGAAAGGAGCTGCTGTCACATCCCTCTCTGTCTCTCTCCCTGTGTTAGCTAGCTCCACTCTGTGCAGCCAGCAAAGGTGGAAAAATAATGTCTGTGAGTAAAGGAAGCTAATTTATGAGCCCCGTGGGCACTGAAGCAGCTCAGGGAATCGAACACTCTTATTGCAAAACACAAATTGAGTGGTCACTCAGCCTTTGGCCTCTCACCAAGTTTGCTGGAGAACAATGATGATATTGATCAATTATATCATTGAGATATTCTCCCTAATTGTGAATGGACAGTCAGGTTTCAGGCCGTTTATACTCTAGTGTTTGACAATTTGTCATTTATGATCCTGAAAGTTATTTGGCATCAATAGATAAACAGAGAAACATCGTTCTTCCTGCTTATGTCTTTTTCAGCTCACGTGTGTATTTGTCTCCCAGGCAGCTGGAGTCAGTGCTGCGGGCTGAACGCTCGGCTGAAGCTGAAAAGGAGCGTCTGTGATGAGCCACCATGGTCCAGCTGAACTCAGATCTGATCGCTAAATCTAGAACCCACTTCAAAAAGAAAAGGGGCCTCTCCCTCCCAGACTACCTCAAGACACTTACGCACCTTAACTTCTCCCACAAGAACATCGAAGACATTGTAAGTGTCCGTTAATGAACGGTAATGTTGTGATGCTTTGCTTCTCTCTATCTTACATGCCTCACGTTTTCATTTTATTTTCAGGGTGATGTCTCCATGTGCAGAAACCTCACTGTTCTGTACCTGTATGACAATCAGATCACAAACATCTGCAACCTCGGCTTTGCCTCCAAACTCACCCATCTGCATATGCAGAACAACAACATCGCTCATATAGACAATCTGTCCAATCTGCAGAGGCTCTCCAAACTGTGAGTATGAAAGTTGAACTCATTGTTGTCCCGTTCATCAAGCTTTTGGTTTGTGTAAAACACACTGGTTGGTTTTTTTCCGTCTCTGCAGGTATCTGAGTGGAAACAGGATCACAGTGGTGGAGGGATTAGAGCAGCTCCGGGAGCTCAAGGAGCTTCATCTGGAGGATCAGAAGCTGGCACCAGGGGAAAAGTTGCTCTTTGACCCCCGGACTCTCCTTTCACTCGCTGTATGACCCATTTTTACACTGTTCAGCACAACTTTAGGTTCATACACACTCCCTAAATGATTTGAGCCCTCATTCTTTGAAATTATATGTATTTTAAGCCTCATTTAAACTCTTTATAAAAAATAATGTGTGTGGCGTATCGACTTGGTAGGTTATCACATCCAGTGTGAAAGACCTCAGATTTCTTCAAGACGAGTGATCCATGTAAAAGCAGAATATTGTGCTGGGTTTGATGATGTCAAAGGGACCTCTGTTGCTCTCTCTGGTCTGACAAATCAGTTAGGTCTGTTTACTGCGTTTACTGGCCAGGCCATGGATAAACACACCAAAAGTCTCAGCTTCTTGTTTGTTTGGATAATTAAAGAAATTGCTGTGCAAATTTGAAGAGTTCCAGCTTTTTATAAATGTGCCGTTAGAGAACTTCAAACCAAGATGAATATTTAGCAACAGCACTATCTAAGAGTATGATTTGGACATGATCCCAGTAGTTCAGGCTCATAAAGAGGGCAGATGAAGAGGCTTAATCCAAATGGTTCAAAAATAAATCAAAAGATAAAAACTGTACTGTAAGTTTAGATTTATTTTAGGCGCACAATGTTTTGTAATGTGGTATTTTCTTTGAGTGTGTGTCTATGAGAAACACGTATTAATGTACTATGGGGTTTACTCATTTTTTCTAGGAGGTTGTGTTACATATTTGAATAACTGTTTATATTTTGAATGTGCTTGATTTGCTCCATCTCCTCCATCTCCCCCCCCCCCCCCCCCCCCCCCCGGCCTACTTCATGTTTATTTGTAAAATTCTCTCATTTAATCAACTGTAAAATGAAATCTGATTTATTCGCACAGGAATCTCTTTGTGTCCTGGATATCAGTAACAACAACATTGATGATATCAGTGACCTGGCAGTGCTGAGGGAAATCCAGACTTTTTCTGCTGCTGACAATGAATTACACAACATGGAGGTAAATATAGCGTTGTTTTTTTTACTTCACCAAAAGTGTCTGTGAAACAAGCTGCACTTCAGGGATTCTTCTCCAGTGTGACAGAGGTAGATACTGGCTGTGTGCTGTGCACTGCAGTCAAAGTAAATAGAACCACATGACAGCATGACATTCCATATTTAAGTCAACATACCACGATTAGTGGATCAGGTCATTATGAATATTGTTCCGTAGCTTTCTGCAGTGATGTGTGAAATGAGATGGAGAACAGGGTTCTAAAGAACCAAATCCTGCAAATCCTGCCATAGGTTCCCAGTCTGCATGACTTGCACAGGGTCAGAATTATTCAACAAATCAACCAGCCTTTCCCCCCTGAGACTTTTCTCGCTGACAGCTTTAAACAAGCACAAGTTTCTCCTTTTCCTTGGGAGGCTGATTTTTCCTCTCTGCCTTAGAATCCTCCGTTTGATACCCTAAACCACCGCTACTTAACTTAGATTCATCTGATGCAGAGATATGATTTATGCTCAGTCACTTCTTTGAAAAATGACCTGCTTGATTTTTCTGTTTGAATTGATTTACTAACTGAAACGGTTGATGGCTTCATTAAAAGGGATTAATTCCTCTTCTTTTTTTTACCAGTATTTCACACCCGGATGACACATTGAAAGCATTTTGTTATCGAATACTTTGCTCAGGCTACTTTCTCAGCACAAATGATTTGCTTTTGAGAAGTTGAGGCAGGTAATTGTTGTACATGTGCCATTTTTAGCAGATATCTCCTATAATTTATACAACCCATCTGCCGATATTGATTCTGCAAAGACAGCACTCACAAGGATCCGTCCCTTCTTCCGTGCCATTTGGTCAGAGTCCAGAGAAAACCTTATGGATTTTTAAAATAGATTATGACAGGCAGTCAGCCAGGGTGACAAATGGGGAGCATCTTCAGAGGCCGTTAGCTGTGTGCAGGGCAGAGAGGACGGGGGAATCGAAGCCCTGGTCAAATACAGGTTCATAACTGGCCCATCATTAGTCCAGGCGAGAGAGCTGGCCAAGCTCAGCGAGTATCCAGCCTTTGCTGTTCTCCACACCCCCGCGTGGGGGGCAATTTGGGGCCGGGCTGCTCTTCGGTGAGGGCCTTCTGAGTGACGGCCCTGACACGATCATTTATCAAAGCCTGGGAGCGCGCGGTGCTCAGGGGTCCCCTCTGAACTGATTGCAGCACGAGCTGGAAAAGTGGAAGCGCTTTGGCCAAGACAGGAAGGCAATGAACAATCAGAGCGTGTCCAGAGAGTATTCATATTTCCAGACTTGGATTAATGTGCCTTTAGATAAACATACAACTGCAGGCAACTCGCTGGAGGAGCCAGGCTCACACTGCCCCAGGAGAAAACTTGTAGTTACATGACACCGGCGACACTGTTTATTAAAATAGACTGATGTGTTGTTTATTCACTTTCCCCCTGGCCCTTGTACTTCACATTAGCATTCACTTACACCGGCTCTTTAAATGTTTTCTGATGTTTGTCTCAGATTAGTTATCATATCAGAAAAATGTGTTTCAGAGAAGGTTTTCTATTTGAGTGTGGTTTCATTTGAAACAAAAACACAATAGATAATAAGTGAAAGTGTCTCTTTATTTTGCATTTTCAGGAGTTAGAGGATGTGTTTGGCTTCTGGCCTCAGCTGCTTCAGATGGATCTGAGAGGAAATCCTGCGAGTAAAAAACGAAAGTACAGAGATCGTCTGATCATCGCATGCAAAAGTCTCGGTAAAAAAAATCTTCTTTTCTTTCATCTCAGAGTAAAATAATTTTAAAAAATGGTTCACTTTTAAAATTCAAATTATTTTTTCGATTTTTTTTTTTATTCCTCATGTATTTTTGCAGAGGTTCTTGATGAAAGGGACATTAGTGAGGTAACCAGACAGTTCCTCATTAACTGGAAAACATCCAAAGAGGCCAAGAAGAAAAAACACAACACTCTCATGCTGCCTGGACCGTTGAGCTCTGATCCCTTCACAAGTAAGTCACTAAATTCTGAAATTTCTTTTATTCCTACTAAATCACTTCCTTTATTTTAGCATGGTCACATTTCCAATTTAATGTGCACGTTGGTTATTAAGGTGCACTGCCAATGTGATTATGGATACTGGGCAACATCCTGGAACCATATAATTATATAATAAATCACTAAAAATGTTTAATGACTCATAGTATTTTCTGTTCCTATTATAGTCATCGTGCTTTGCTTCATTATTCTGGGTCAGTCTGACACATTTGAATGTGTGTGTTCCGTTCTGACTTTGTTTATATTCCAGACGACTTTTACACGGCTCAGCGTCCACATCCCGGTCACATCTACAGCCATAACATGCAGAGGTTGAAGCCACAGCAGTCTCTCAGCTCCACTGCCATCGATCCCACAGATCTCAGCTGTGAGTACACTGACTCTGTTTCCTAATGTTACACCAACCACACATTCAGCTGTTCTACAGAGAGGATCATAAGTCTGACAGATGACAGTGGCCAATGGGTTTGATCTCACCAAACACTGCGATCCGTCTTATTTCTCCCCAAAATCTAATGTTTTTCATGGTTATTTCACATTTTCAACATTTTCTTGATCAGCTATATTTTTTACGTCATAGGAATATCATAAATATAATATGAATCTCTATTACTACATTTTAAGACACAATTTAGGAGATTTCTTTGATTTTTGAACCATTATTTGCTTCTTCTTGTTTTATCTGATCTCCAAGGACAACACTGAAGATTCCTATGAGGGGGCTTCACAAGGTGGCAAATGCACTGAGGACAAATGCACTGAGGACAAACCCACCGGTCCGATGAACTGTCCACCCCCAACCCCGAACTAACAGAGCTACTGCTTTATTTACTGTTCAATTCAGCTGCAGATCTTTTAATATAGTCGGTGTCATGCACTTGGTATGAGCTCCATAGCTGTTACGTCATTGCAGCCCTTGACCTATTGGATTATATCGTCTGCCTTATCTAGTTTCCAAAAAATATTGTCACATGTTCACATGTTTTGATTTAACCTTGGTCTTCACTAGATCAGCATCGTTATAAATGTAGGTTTAAACAACAAAATAATAAATTGTTTGCTTTCCCTTCAGAATTTTCAGCCTGCTGCATTTCTCCCCCTCTCTTTCACAGCTAATTCATCTATAATTATATTTTTATAGGGTCTGAAGATATTAGTAAGTTTTACAATACCTGATATTGTGTGTGTGATTTTTTTCCACCAATGATCCAGGAGATGTAGAGTGGCACAATCTGAAAGATCCATCTGCCCTGATATTACAAGGCCAACAACACATGCTTCTTTTCATCCGTTCAGCTGGGATCAATGATTCCTCCCTCTGTTACAGTGTGTAAAACGGATGTAGCTGTTGTCATCCTCGTTACTAAATGTTTGGATGAGTTTTTAGGAGCCACGTGGGCATATAACCCCAGAAAGATGTTGGGGGTAATTAGGGAAACCAGCTTACTTAACCTCCTCTTACTTCTCCTTGTAATTAGTGTCCCGGGGCAACGCAAGTATACTCCATCCTTACAAAAACAATGTTTATTAAGAACAGTCTGAGGACATACACATTATGAATTATTCCTTTCATTAATTTGCAGACATCACCGTTTGCCGCCCTGGAAATCAGGGTGATTAATTTATGACTCTCTAAAGAATTTCCTCCAACGCCTGCCTGTTGATTGCAGCGCTGCAGTTTATTTATTAGCTGCTCCAATGCAATTCAACACACCCTGACAATTAGTCCCATGTTTTGCATATCGCCTTACACTTGTCAGCTTGTCTTCACGGTCCATTGCAAATAGCCTTTAAGGATATAGCCTTTATATTGAAGCTCGGTTTTTGACTCAATTTCTTCCCGTTTCCCACTTTTTGATAGGCTTAAAAAAATACAGTGTCAGGTTCATAGCCAATTAGAGCGGGGATGTGGCCCTACCACATTTCGGCGTTCGAGGAAAAAAGGGAGTTGTGCCTCTGGCGTTGAAAACGAGCCTCTGCTGCCCTCAGAAATAAGTTAGGAGAGGGGGAAAGGAGCAGACTTCTCCTTCAGGAGGGAGTGATTAATTAGGTCGGAGGGAAATACTCGTCCGCCGCTTTGTGTATCCAATAAATTAAGGGCTCCTGAGACTTTTACGCACACAGGTGAAGTGTTTGGATGCGCTCACAGGAGGGAGCGTTGCGCGCCTTCTCTGCAGACGCGCCACTTTATTTAAGGATAAGCTGGACGTCGACCGGGAGTGTTCCGCGCTGAAGAGCAAGTCCTCTGTCCCGTCGAAGCCCCTCTTCGGATCGCCTTCATGTCGTTTTTCAAGACGTTGAGAAACACCAGAGGTAAACTTTATATTCGACCACCGGCCAGAAACAGATCCCACCACTTTGTGAAGGGGTAAAGACGCCATGGCTGCAGGGACTCTGACATGTCACTCAGCAATCAGCACGAAGTCAGTTTTATTTGCTGCAACTATGGATAAATATCTGTTGTCACTTGGATTCTCAAAGTTTTGTTTGTGAGGAGATGAACTGTAGAGGGGGGAAGTTGTCTGGATCACAAACATCTCAACAATGAGAACTTAATTTATGGTTTAATAAATAAAGCACAAGAAATTACACATCAAACAGTAGATTACAGTTGACTTTAAGTTAAATAGAACAGAAGGTTATTGACTGAAAATATCCTGAATAAATAATTTGTAATAACTAAATTACTCTCTGTCCGTTTGAACTTGAATCCATATAAATCGGGGCATGCTTTTTAAACTCCTCAAACTAACGTGGTGTTTCTCAAATTTAACTTTCAGCTCTTTAATCACACTCTGATGGTGGGAAGACAGACGCTCCGAATGGACAGCGGCACTTGCTCCGGGACGGTGGCGGACGACAGCCCCGCGTCGAGTCCCAACTCCAGCCCCAGTCCGGACGGTGGTCGCCGGGAGCTCCAGCGGGCCAGGGTGCTCCAGGGCGGCTGCGGCGGCGGCGGGCTCGGCGGCAGGGGGCGGCCGGCGGCGGCGAACGCGGCGCGGGAGAGGAGCCGCGTGCAGACGCTGAGGAACGCGTTTCTGGAGCTGCAGAGGACTTTGCCGTCGGTGCCGCCGGACACCAAGCTGTCTAAACTCGACGTGTTGATACTGGCCACCACATATATTGCCCATTTGACTCGGACACTGCAGGAGGAAGGAGCGGAGGAGGGAGAGAGCACAAAACAAACAGAGGCGTTACACTCATTGAAGGGTGATGGCTACCTGCACCCAGTGAAGGTCAGTAACAATAAAAAGAATAATAACCATAATAAATATAATCATTATTTACATTTGTTTTATGTGTCAGACTGTGTATTCAGCATTTATTCAATTTTGAAATAGTTTTAGAAAATCTATGAAAAAGGACAAATTATTATTCTTATCTTATCTGTGACTCAATGTGACTTTTTTTTCTATGCATGCACCATAATCCTCACCGGCCTTTTTGGGGCCTATTTGAGATATGTAAGCATATATATTTATTTGTCTTTCATTAAAATATGAAATGTCTTTGCAGAAATGGCCGATGCGCTCCAGACTGTACGTCGGTGCCTCCGGACAGTTCCTGAACACCACAAACTCCTCAGAGTCAGAGAATCAAGGTCCATCATCGTCCACCTCCCAGAAATAAATCACTTGTGTGGAACAGTTTCATATTTGCATGAGTTGATGCTGTTCAGGCCTCATCCTGTGTCCACTTAGAACAATTATCCCTCACCTGATTCCACTCCCTGTCAGTAGAAAGACGTTGTAAATTAATATATTACTTGTGAATTTTATTGTATAATTTTTTTTTTTTAACAGAAGGCATTTTACATTTTGTTGTTGTTTTGACTGATCCTTGTTTTGCCCTGCATCGTGCAGTTCCATACATGTCGCGATCATCTGCAGAAATTCCACGGGGTAACGAGTCCGTCATGCTTGAGGTGTGCACTTTGAGTTGAAAACATTTGCACTAAATGCATGTGTGAATAACTTAACATCTGTCATGTGAAGTGGTCTGTCAGCGAGAGTCAACAATGGAGGCGCTCCCGCTCATGTTCCGGCTCATTTTTACACGCATGCTTGTAAATGTGTTTGGGAATAAATGACCTCGGTGAAAGAGAAGACGAGTCTCCGAAGGTTTCTGACGATGATTGAAAAAAAAAGAGAAAATCTATGAAAGATGTCAATTTGACTTGTTCATGGTAATAAAAAGAAAATAATAAAATGAAGTTAAATAATTTATAGTTGACATATGTCAGGACTTTAATATTATTAATATTGTTATTATAATTAACATTATTTTTATCTGATAATTGAAGCTTTCTCTTGTGGTCATTGATTTCTGTACTTATACTCTGTTACAGGCTAAACTCTGGTTTTAATAGGTGAAAACATAACGTTAATTTGCAGCTTAAATACTGACTGATATTCGTCTGATTAATGAATCCAATGCGTTTCACGTCAAGGAAGAAAGATAGATGGCTAAATGTGTATGTATAGCATTTTGTTTCAGCTTCAGTTGGGTTTAAAGTTTGACAAGATTGAGCTTTAAAAAGAAAGTAAACAATAATTAGCCCATAAATCTAAAAATCTGGCATTTTCACGGCATAAATAATCAGGAAATAAACCTCACACAGGAAGAATTTCAACATTTTAGCAGGAACTAATTTGGAATGATTGTGTCAGCTCGAGCTCATCACTTGCTTCACCATCTGTTGTGCTGCTTTTTCAAATATTGCAAAATGCGCAGGCACATCGCAACATTTTATGAGGGAGGGATGACAGTGAATATTTATTACTAACAGTTTGTAGTGAATCGGGAGGTTGTAGTTAAAAAAAAGATCCACGTCTATTTTTTACGTCTTTTATAAATATAATAACAGAACCAGGATTCCACTGCTGCCACTTCTGCGTAATGAAAAGGAGTGAATGCACGAATCAGCTGTTTTTCTGATATAACATTTTCTGAAATATAAACGTCATAAATAGTGTGCGCCGGTGTTTGACGGATCCTCGCGCCACAGTGCGCAGATCTGCGGCGCAGTGTCCGGAGCTGAGACCGGAAGCTCTGCCTCTTGTCCCGGAGACACGATGGAGAGCAGTCGTACTTCCTCCCACGTCCCGGGCGAACGAGGATCTCTCCGGGGTGAATCTCCAGTAATGCAGGTAGGCGGTGGTGAAGTGGGTTTGTGTGTTGAATTGTGCAGTTTATCAACGTGCTCCCGAGCGAAGTCGGAGGTAGCTTTTGAATCCGGCCCTGCTGGCAGTTAGCATGAAGCTAGTTAGCATTTCCGCCACGTGGGTAACACGAGAGCGCGTTACAGCTGATCTGCAGTGGTTCTCGCGATGATTTAAACACAATAATTACTTATATGTTCGGTTAATACACTTAGTCAAAGTTGATATATTTAATTCAGTATTGCGAGGTAATTTCTCTGTTCTCTTGGCAACTACTTTGTAAACACACGTGGATCTGAAATGAAATCGAACGTAGGGCTTTGGTTTTATCTCATCAGAATTACTCAATCAAAATGTTTTTACTTATATTTTGCAATAGAAGAAAACTACTATCATGTTGTAGGTGTAATGTTGAACCAGTCTAACCCACCGATTCGGTGTCTGTGTATAGACGGGTCCCGTCCCTGAAGTAATGCCATAAATCATTCTTAGAGACAGTGGAAAGGGGGAAGTCGCCCCCCGTGTCACTCTGCTTCACACAGCTCCGTCCTTATCTGGCTGTGTCCAGGGGTCAGCAGAACAGCGGCTGGTCAGGGAATTGACCCCCCCCCCCTCCCATTATTTCACTGTGGAAAGTCATCACGACCTCTTCTGAGGAGCTGAGGTCATGGCAGAGGTCGGGACCTGCTGTTGAACCCGTCCTCAGACCTGCGATGTTCGCCGTGCTCCCAAGCTGCGTTACACTGCACCCTCTGACCTTCGGGTGATCAGTCATCTGTCCTCGCCATATTGGTTATTCCTTCAGTACTTCTTATTCATGCGAGCTGAGAATCAATACTAGACTCCTGACAGCAATTAGTTGTGAGGTTTAGTTAAGTTGCTGTGACAGATTGGTGGGGTTTGAATCGTGGGTGCCTACAGGGATGAAAACAAATATGAAGACTGGAAATAGATCATGATTTTAATATGTGTCTGTCTTTTGTCTTTTCAGGAGTGCAGGTGAAGATGGCTGGTGAAAGCAATGATTGGCCCACATGGTCAGGTAATATGAAGTTGTATATTTAAACGTTTGAGATCAATCATAATGATGAATGAGTTCAGGGGTGTCTACATGCTCAGTGTTATTGGTACTTAGTAATTCTTTGTATATCAGATGTCAGACCGCCACTGCATACTTCAGATTTGCAAATGCCTGTCATCCCTCTGTGGACGTTAAGGTGACTGCTCAAGTGTTCAACACTATTTGGTTATGTGGTGCTTTTGGTGACAGGGAGTTTGTGCTGCTGGAATAATGATGAGTTCACTTTTGCCGTTTACCCATCAGACAACAAAGTGGTGAAACTGTAACGAACTGAAACAGCAGCACAATCTCAGTCTGAACTGTTTTTTTTTTTTTATAAAAGATGCAAATAATAGCATGAAGATATTTTTTTCCCAACGTTAATCTTAGTCCTTTTTTTTCTTCCCCCCAATCAGATGCTTCAGGTTACAATAAGCGTTTCCTGGAGATGCACCTGATGTAATCATGTGTGCATCCTGTGCTGAACAGGAGGTGAGTTCCTGCATGTGATATGATTATATTTAAAATGATTGTGGTAGAATTGCATTGGAGAGCATTGCTCAATGAGTCAGACTTAATTATTTGTCTCTCAAACTGACTCTGAAGCAGAGAAGTCAAAAATGGCTCAGGTCTTGGATATTTTTCTTAACGCTGTGCATTGGCAGCTCTTGCAGCTGGAGTAGTGATGAGTTCATGATTTATGCCGTTTACCCATCAGACAAATGAGTGGTGAGATTGTGAAGTCTGAATTACCAGCTGCAACCTTATGTTCAGTGTGCTTAATCCATTGCTATGGTGCAATAATTTGTCAATCCCATTCCTGTGACTTGTTTTTCTTTCAGTTGCCTCAGATTACATGATGTGGTGACAGGATGAACCCGGTGTAATCCCTTGTGTGTTCTGTGCTGATGAGGTGAGTTCCCTACTACAGTGTGTCCTTTCCAGTGCTGCTGGAACGTGATTATATAGATTGTTTACACTGGTTAAATAAATTAACCCTGATTACTAGTATTAGTTTTACTTACTCTTTAGCAGATAAGTCCAAACTGGCTCAAGTCTTATAACTTTCTGGACTCTGAACCATGGCAACTTTTGCAGCTGGAATAGTGATGAATTCATGATTTATGCCGTTTACCCATCAGACAACAGAGTGGTGAGATTGTGAAGACTGAATTACCAGCTGCAACCTTAGGTTTGCCCTGCCGAACACTATTTTTCTTCCATCTTCTTGGTCAATCTCATGAATGTTATGTCTTGTTTTTCCCTCCCTGCTTCAGACCATGTGATACGGTGGCTGGAGAAGCACCTCATCTGTAATCCTGTGCTGATCAGGTGAGTTCATTACTACAGCATGTTCTTTTTTTACATTGCTAATTATTGATGCCGCAGGAAACTATATATTTTACGATTTGGAAGGCAATGCACTTTTACCCTAGTGCAACCTGGTCAAACATTTTCCAAACCCTAACTATTACTTTCTCCGAAGCGGCTCAAATCTTAGATGTTGTTTTAACATTGAGCGCTGGTGCCTCTTGCAGCTGGAATAGTGATGAGTTAACAACTTTTGCCGTTTACCCGTCAGACAATATGGTGGTGAGACTGTGACTACTGAATTACCAGCTGCGTGCCAATGTTCTGGATTTGTGCAGTTACAACAAAGACTAAACATGTAACAGGAAATGCCATCTTGACCCATCAATGTGTAATGTTGAAGTGCTGTGTATAGAACTGATTCATTTCCCTATTTAACAGATAAGCAGCTACTGTAATGGAGTCTGAGAACTAGCGTCTCTGGTAAGTAAAGCTGATCCTAAAATGTATTCCCATGTTCATTTCACTGGTTTATGTCCTGTTTTTAAAGTTGTCATGATGAATTCACCTTTTCGCCGTTTACCCATCAGACCAAAATGGGCTGCTGAGAATGTGTCTTACTGAACTAAAAGACCAAGATGTAAAACCATACAGAAGTTAGTTTTTTCCCCACTTTAACTGATATTTATTTCTTATTTATTTGTAAGGTTACAGAGCCAGTTGACTGATCATGTTTATAGGAAAAGCAAATGTCAACGGTAGGTACCAACTCCCAACCCCTGTCAACTTGTCATATAATTTATAATCATTACATGGCATTTAGCTGTTTGCAACAAAATGGAATATGTATACAGTCAGATATTGACATGTGTGTCCTTCATTCGGTCATTTGTCTGTTTCTCATGTCTCTTACAGTGTAGCTGGAGCTGATGGAATCAACATTCAGCAGAGATTTAATTGCAAATCTATTATTTAATTAAACTTGTTTGGAAAGAAAAAAAAGCCTGGGCTTGATCGTCTGAGTTTTTTTTCTGTATGCACATCTTCTGTTATGCATTTGAGATGTTATGGTCACCTATTGCCAACAACCCCTTTAACCACCGCTTCACTAAATTCAATGTGTCTTTGTGTGCCAGTATCTGCTCAATGAGTATACAGCTGTGAAGGGATGAACTCTCACGTTAATCAGAGACTGTGAGATCTTGTGCTGCTTACCTGTATTTATTGATCTTGAGGGATGTTACTCTTCTGTGATGTAACTGTTTGCTCCTGGAGCGTATGCATAAATGAAGCGCAGGATATTCTGGTGGAGCTCATCCAGTGCCATGTCTCTTCTGTGCAAACAATCCACATCTTCCAGGTCACAGGGAAACACTGCGTCAGGTGGAATAATGAGAGCAGAGGCCCCTGGAGGAAGAGGGAGGCAACTTTGAAAACTTAATCTATACAGCCAGCATTTATATCAAATCACAACCAAGACAAAGAACTTGCAAAGCTTCGAATATGTTCAGTCTTTCAGTCGGGTGTGTTATTTCCATCATTTTATGCCATGTTCAAAAAAGACTATCACAACAGCATTACTTAAATAGGACACGTGCAAAGGAAGTTGATCTCATTGAGGAAGTGCTGTGTTTGTAGTTGGTATAATCAGTGGGAGGGGAGCAGTGATCATTTTTAATTTAGTACCGTGCTTGAGAGTGACTGAGTTTTCACAGAGGAGCACAGCGATGACTGCGTCTTCCTCCAGTACTTGAGTTCTGAGACTTAACTTGCAGTGAGCCTCAGCCAAAGAGATCCTTTAAAAAAAACACATGAAAAGGGGCAGTTAAGTGAAGTACTGCACAAGTATATGCTGAATGAAAAGTAGAATTTGCATCACGTGGGGCAGTAACAGATGTTATCTCAAGTGGTACAGGTAATGAAAATGCTTTTAGACATATTTATACAGAAGTATGTCACCATGGTCAAAATGAAAACATTTGTCATTGCCAAAAGAAAAAGTCCTGAAGGAGAGTTCTCCACCTAGTGGATAATAAATGACATTACACCAGACTGACTCTACAGTCTCTGGTAATGCAGAAAAGTGAAGATGAAATATAAAAGCAACAAGTATTCATCATATTATATAAGCAGAGTGCTTACAGTAGTTTGATAGAGGCCACTGATATCTTAACACCCTGACTCTGTGTTCTGATTCTACGGCTGGCCATGTAGTAACCGTGGATCATTTTCTCAGCTCCAGGACTGAGCTCCACTTGTAAACTTCGAGCATGGGCAACCAGCTGGAAGATAAAGAATTCAGAACAGCAATATCAATTTAAGTTAACTGAATAAAAACTAAACTGAAGGCAATGCATTTTAATAATAGTGACATGGTGATTGTTGACCTCCTGGTAGTCTTGAGAGGAAAACTCCCAGCAGGTTGGGTCAAGGGGTTTTCCAGGCTGTGCTGACTGCTGGAGGGTGTGGACAGTCTGGGCCAGCAGGGCCTGCTCTCCCATCATATCCCTACACTGAATGACCAGGCCAAAGGTGTCTGCCAACTGAAGTGGTACGGGACCCATTTCCTGCTCGCAAAGAAGAGACTGGGCCTCAGAGAGTTCTCTAATGTTTTCAAAGTTCTACGATGATAATGATAAATAAGAAAAGAACTTGACATCTAAAGACACCTGTTGAATTGCTATACAGTTTATTGTCTACCTCTTCCCTGCAAACGGGGAAAACAAAGCATTGATTATTCTCAAGGGCTCTGCTGTGAAGTCATGTTTTCTGGGCAGGGCATTTCCTTCAAGAAAAGTAAATTGTCTCATTTTCCTGTTTTGCCTGTGCTATCTACAAACAACATCTGAATTGAATTAAATGGGATTTTTCCCCCGAGCTTAGACAAGCTCAAGTTCCAACATAAGACTAAATACAGTTTACACAAAAATCTGATATCAGATCTGTTGGTCCACATTGAGATTATGATTTAAGTGAGCTATTCAATACTAATACAACTTTATGTTGTGATTGATCTCACTGCTGTTCCCAGTACAGTACAGTCTGTCCTCCCTGGCTGCTGAGAGGGGTCTGTGAGGGCCCAGAAGCTGCAGTTGAGTGGGAAGGAAAGCTGCTGGTCAGCATCCTCACCGTACTTCTTCCCTGGGATGAATACAGACACAGTGCGGCTCTCTAGAACTGAGAACATTTAAAGGATTAAAATATATTTATTACTATATTTGGCAGAAATTACCCATCATTTTTAAAGCCATAGCTTGTTGTATTTATCACTTTGGTGCTTTACCTGACTGGATGGAATCCAACTTGTCCTTCTTGTAACACCCAAGCTCTCCTACCATGCATATGCCCCCGGTGGCTAGCAGGGCAGAACCAGCATGAATGTTGGCAGTGCCTGCTCCATGTTCGTCCCGGGACAGGGATGCAAACATCTCCCCTGAGGCCGGATGCCTGACCCCACGAAAGGCTAAACTTAAGCTGTATGTCAACAGTCTAGCACAAACACAGAGGGTGATGGGTAATGTGAAAGATGAAGTCTCTGGTGGCATAATTAAAGTCACTTAACTTTCCATCACCTGTCTAACACAAGAGTATCAGTTGTAATGACGAGGAGATCCAAGTTGTGACATGTTTCTTTTGCATCTGCTCTAGTCTGCACCAAGCTGAGCAGCAAACCCAGCTTCAGTGTGTTGTACAAGCCTGGAGGAGAAACTTCCAATCCAAAGCAGTGAGCTACAATAGCAGAGAACCCCCAGGGAGAAGAGGCTGTGGCCTTCAACAGCTCTTGGAACCTGACACTGACTTTATGGGGATCTGTAGGTAGAATTGTGACACATGGCAGATATTTCAATGTGGTAACAACGCACAATTTTCCATATAAGATGTGAAAAGAATCAGAATCATAACATATATCAAAGCGTTAAGATGTTATCAATATGTCTGTGGCAGGGATGTCTGTAGACTCAAAACTATTTACTGCCTTACATTCTGGCTCCCACGGTCGGACACTATTTGCCTCTACACTCCAGGTAATGTTGGGCCACTGGTGGACATGTGCAGGAATGCCTAGCACCCTGTAGAGTCGCCCAATTCTCATCAAGTTACACAGCTCATCTGTGTGAGTAGGGGAAACAAAGCAATAACACTCGAAGGGGTTGTCCTTGATTATTGAAGAAACATGCATGCCACCTACAAACCACTGCCAAGAGAAACACAGCAAGGCCTTAAGAACAAAGATTTCTCTGTGTGCGAAATGCACAGCCAGCTAATGAGTGTTCCTTGCACTTATTAGCATATATGTTTAGTAACGGGAACCCTGTGTATTGAATTCCTCCACAGGACTGGGTCAACAGAATATGTTAATCCTGGTGCTGAGATTTGCTAAGATCTCAGGGGTACTGACTGGACAATGTTATTGGAGGGGACAGAAACACTTAATATCCCTCTAGGAGGCACTGTGTGCGGCAGCCTGCACGGAAATTTTGTTTATTTGAACTCTCCCCCACTAAGTTTGTGTTCCAAAGTTATTCTCATTTAAGAAGCTGGAGAAAATTAATGACACACCTCAATACATCTGACTGGGTGTAAATACAAGCTATGACAACCACATTATTCAGGACTGGGAGTGAATATAAGTAATGAGAAAAAGAGTTTTACAAACAAATAATACCCTTTAAAATCCTTTGAGGATATTAATCAACAGTACAGTGTGTCATTTAAAATGTTAACTTGCAAATAAAAACATGGCCTTTAAACCCAGTAAAATTCAAAATATCCATCTGAGGCTGCTCAGGCGTCGTCAAGGACTCAGCTGCACCCTGACGTGGATGGTTGAACCAGCTGCCTGGTTAATGGGGAGTTTCCATCAGTCTTTAAACAAAAGCTGCCAAACAGTAAACTGTCAAAACTCATAACTGGAGGTTTTCATTGCAAATACTTACAAGAAAAGCTATAGATGATTAAAAGTTTACTACATGCTGAAGAGACATCGCAGACTGCAGGGATGCTTATTGTACTGTGTCAGGGATGCATACTCATTCTCTACCTGAGGGAGATGAACTCATTTTGGGCTTTTTACTTCAGTAGTTAGAAAACAATCATGTGTTCTGCAAATGTTCCATGGCTTAAAAAGAGGATTGAATATGCCCCCATAGTTTGTATTGTCTATATTGTTTTGCAATTATATTACTCTGATGTGGACCATTATGCTACAATTTCCAGATACATTTAGATTTAATATCAATCAATCGATAAATATGTTGACTGGAGGACATTATATGTAGGTGGAGAGGTGACTTTTGTATGAGCAGGTAAACCTACCTCTGAGAAACAGGGTGACAGACTGGTATCTGAGTGAGCTTTGCTGATGCCCATTTAGAACATCCAGTGCTTTGACGTGGATCAGCTCCACCAGCTGTTTGTCTGTCTCCACAAAGACACACACATGGATAAATACAGAAGATAACAACACAACACTAATTGTTTTTTAACTACTTCTGACCAGTAATAGCTTCTGGTAATAACAGCATTGTCACCTCCCAAAACTCTGAACTTCACATCCTCTTTCAGTTGGGAGTTGCACATCATGCAGCTGAAGTCGTTTCTTACTGTAGCCGACTCTGTGGCTCCGGGTGCATGAACTCTGATGTGGTGGAACCCTAGGGCCAGAATCATGGAAATGCAATCAAATGTGAATCTAAAAATCTACTACAAATCCAACTGAGTGTGATCTGTCTTAATAGTACTACTCGTAGCTCAGAGAAACCTCAAGTGTGGGTTTGGAGGTAACAAAGTACCTGTACAGCAGGGGCAGTCGTCGTTAACGCAGAGGAACCGGGCCCCCTGAGTATATTTCGTGACCCTCGTCATGGCAATGACCAGGCCCTCCATGGAGACAGGCCTCATGGTGCCACATTCTCGAGGAAAACTGCAAAGGTCCAACGTGTACTCAGGGAACGGAGGCAGGTGTGTCAATTTGAGAATGATATTCACCTCAA